CAGATTTTAAAAATTTGCAGGAAAATTTTTACAAAAAAATTCGGGTCTTAGCGGACTTTTAGTAATTTTATTGGACCTGTCCTAATTTTTTTGTAAATTTGAAAATAATTAATGGTCTGGGCGGATAAATGCCGAGTCGGGTCTTGCGGATCTCTAGTTTCTATATCTGGACACAGGGCAAAAAGAGTTAAGTGTTTATTTTTTATTTATTTACCCTTACATACTTATACATTTTTATCTGGGGAAATTTATACCTTAGCGGGAACAGGCCTGTAAATTATTTTTAGCATAAGAGTTCTGTATCGGTAATAATATGAAATGAAAGCTAATAAAAAAAATTGACTACTAACATCTCTCTAAGTCCTTGTTAGGTCATGATGAGGAAAGCATAGGACCGGGTAGCATATAAAGATATATTCTAATAATAAATTTTATTAAGGTTAAAAGAAGATTAAAAAATATCATTGAATCGATTTTTCAAACTAATTTTAAAATATTAGTTAATTTATATGGTCTTAAATATATGTGTTTCAATATAAAATAAATTATTAACAAATATCACGATATTGATTTTGCTATTTTTTGAAATAGTTTTCATGATATAATTTACGCGATTAAAGTTTCGCTGAATTGACATGGAACCCAGTATTTTGCATTTAAATTAAGTATCAAAATTTAATATTATAAATGACATATGTGTGTTATCCTGAAAATAAATATTTAGATATTAAACTCTTATGAAAATCTTTTATAAAAAAAATTTAAGGATATGAAAACTATATAATTACTGCCCTCAATTAATTTATTTATAACTATTAATTCTAACTTATAAAGTACTAATTTAATTATATGTGAGATATACTCAGTGGCATAGACGGGGACCCCCCCCCCTATAACCTCCGAAGCAAAAATTTTTTAGAAAATCTTTTTAAAATTTTTTTCTTATTTCGAATAATTTTATTTAAAAAACGGTTTCAATTTATAAATAAAATTATATACGATATCAAAATGAAATATATTTTAAAAAAAACAAATAAGAATTTTAAATAATAACATGGTTTAAAAATATATATTAAAAATTAAATAAAAATAGAAATATATTGTAAATTTTTTCTGGCATAGTTAAATTAGATATTTATAAATTTAATAATAAAATTTATATTGTTAAACTAATTAGATGGTAAAGACAAGCGGGGAAAAGTCTTGTTTAAAATAGAATATTAGACGTCGATCTTGAGAGGAATTGCTTTGATGGGAATTAATAATAGGGATTTCGCTCATTTTAAATATAAGGAAGATTTCTTTATTTTATAAATTAAGTATAAAAATAAATCTGTTACTATCAACTATAATTTTCTCATGAGCTATATATATAATAAAAAATATATCTTTTTTTATAAAATGTAAATCAATTACGGTTATAAAACATAGCTGAAAACTCATATTAACAATTTAAAAGTAATATAAATTGAGTAATAATTAAAATAAAAGTTAATATAGTACATTTTATATAACAGATTGTTTTAAAAATTTTAATTAATTTTTTATAATTTTTAAATAAAAGAAAAATCATTTCTAATTTGGTAAATATAATGAGAAAGTAAAGGTAATCGCTAACATGTTTGGGATTAAAAATTTTAAATCTAGAGTAGTTTCTAGATAGTGTAATCGCTTAAATATTGACGCATCCACTATTGAGGATTTTTATAAAATAAATATATTTACTCCCCATATTGATACATTTTTATTTCAATTAAAGGAAAAATTTATTAGTCACAATTTTATTTTAAACAGCTTTTATTTTCTTTTGCCGGTTGAGTCTGAATACACTTGAAACGCGAGAGGATATTAGGAAAATCTCAGAGTTTTGTTCTGATGAATTATCCGCATCGGATAAGTTACTTTGTGATGTCGAATTTTGGTATAAATTTGACAGAATAGAGTACTCTTTGAGACCAAAAAATGTTATGCAGGCCCTTTCCATGTGTAATTGCACTTTAGATTTCCTGCCTAATATCAAAACATTGCTTTTTATTTTAGCTATTAGCATCTGCACTCATGAATGGTCTTTTTCAACTTTGAAAAGGTTAGAAACCTATTTAAGAAATGCACCGGTGAAAGCCGTTTAAATGAATTCGCAATATTAAATATTTTAAGGAGATTATTCTAGATAAAAATTTGATTCTAGATGAATTAGTTAAATCTCAGAGAAAAGTAGACCCCTCTTTATAAATTCAAATTATAAAATTAATATGTTCTTAGTCATAAATTTTTATATTCAAACGTAATTATAATGAATTCTTAGTCATAATATTTATATATTATATTTTTAATAAAAATATTGCATTTGCAATAAGAATTAGTGATCTGCATCGGGCCTAATTTTTCAAGCCCGGCCCGAAATTATTTTAAAAAACTTTTGCCTGCCCGAACCCGAAATTTTTTTTAAAGAGTTTTGTCGGCTTGGCCCGAATTTATTTAAATATAGAAATTCATTTTTATAATTACTCAAAATAAAAGATATATTCGTCTAGTTTTTATAAATAAAATCAAATATTTTTATTTTACATAAAAAATTTAACATAAAATTGATATATCTAGATATTATTTAAAAAAAATTCCAAGACCCAACCCAGCCCTAATTTTTTTTAAAAATATTAGTCTCGACCCATCCCGAACTTGATTTTCCTACTTTTGCAGATCTCTTATAAGAATTTGTTTTATTAATATACTCATTTGTATTAATTATAATTGTTAAATTAGATTTTTTTAAATACCGTATAAGAATTACTCTTATTTTTTTTTAAATATAGTTATTTAGAATAAATTTTTAATATAATCTGTATAAAATTTCTATATTTTAAAATTTATTTTATTGTATATTATCATTAAAATAAATACATAGTTAAATAAAAGGGGTGTTATTTATACTAAAGTATTTTAATAATAAATACAATCTATAATGAAATTCTCTGAAAAATTTTTAATTAAAAGAATTATTTTTAACATAGAATAAGATATATTGAGTGATCATAAAAAATGGGAGGTTTGGGGGGGGGCGATTTTTTTCTTCTTTCTACACTGAATAGATTGAATTAATTTACAATTGAATAAACATTGATAAAATTTCAGAACAATGCTTTCAGTCGCGTATTAATCATAAATTTGGCAAAAATTTTGTTACTAATATTTTTTTCATTTATGCTGGCTACTATAGTGGTTAGACACTAATAAAGCACAAAATATTGGCAAATTTTTAAAATGCGGTTTGGGAGCGATGCCTTCCTAATAATTTTAACCCCCCCCCCCCCTATTGATCAATCCTGGCTACGCCACTGGATATTTTCATAATCAGAATGTTTTAAAATTTTTATATTTAAGCAATTATTATATTCCTAAGATCGCGTCTTTTCTCATTGCGTTTAAAATAGAAAATTTTAATTAATAGATAGGAAATAAAGATTTTCAAAACCCAACCGGTTTGGGAAATTGAAATTATATTTTATTTCGGCAGGAAATGGGTTGGGTTTGGATATATTTTTTGATTTAATTAGTAATATCAATAAATAATACTTTCATTTTATATTATTTTACATTTTGTTTATTTCTTATATGTTGGGGAATATGGAATTAATCTTATGTTTTGGTTGTGTAATTTTTTTAAAAAAAATTTATGGTGCAAAATGCTTTTTTCTCTTTAGATAAGGTTGGGGCGAAAAGTTTGCTTCTTGAAAGTCTTTAATAGGAAAGTCAAAACTGGGGTCTTTAACACTCAATTATTTCCAGTTTCATGCAATGATTAATTTTTAACCTATATATGTGACTAAGATGAATAAAATTTTGTTTTCTATTCTAGCCTAATATTATTATTCTAAGAGAAAAATTCCATTGAGCTTTAAACGATTATTATTTTAGTTATAATTTAATAACTTCACCTGCAAGACTTTTTTTAAATGCTTGTACAAAAAGTATTGAATGCATTTTAAAGGCGTCGCAGAATAAGTAAGCCCAGCCCTTATGGCTTCTAACATATAATACTTTTTGGTTAATTCAATATTTCTAATTTAGCAATGGTTTATTCATAAATTCTTCAGGAATAATAAAGCGAATGCATGGTTGAATAAATTTGCCTCGAGAGATTTTTTCTTCGGAACGTAATTTTTTTAAATTTTAATCTAAAATTCGATTTAAATGAAAAACGCCAACCTTAGTTTTGGAGATACATCTAGAATAATTAAATTTTTAAGATAAAATTGTAATTTCCCAAAAAGTAATTTCTTTAGGCAACAATCATGTAAATAATAATAAATATATTCATAAAATTTATTATAAAGTTTTACATAAAAGAGAATACAGTATTTTATTAATAAAAATCGAATGCTTCTTAAAAGGTATTATTTATTAAATCATATATTTTAATCTTTGAAAATAATAATAGCTAGAACAAATTATTATTTCGCCGTCGATTATATTTATTCGACAATATAGCATGTCATAGTTAATATATCTCTAACAATACCGATAGATATTCGTTTTATAATTCAAACGAATCTTTTTAATTGTATGGAAACCTTCATATCAAACGGGTATCTTTCATTCTTTAAATAGGTGAATTAGATACAGAAGTAAAGTTTCTATTTTCCAGAACAAATCACATTAATAAATTAAAATCTCAGGATTTTGTAGCTGGGATCACAATAAAACTCCAGGTGTGACCATTTGTTATACTTATCGTTTTATTTCAGTCCATTGATACCTATTTTATAATCAATTATATTGTTGAATACATCACTATTCTAAGTATTGACCAAATTTTAACATATAATAGGAAAACTATATAAAATGTTAACAAAGTAATTTTTTATAAGTATCATCCCACATAAGTCCATAAAATAATATTTATCGTTTAGATTCATATAAATTAAAAATAATTTTCAGTTTTTTTAACTTTAAAGAGATTATTTTATTGAAGTTTACAATAATATATTATGTTTTTTAAGTTTAGATATGTATAATAAAAATGTTATCCTGAAGTTATCAATGATATTACTCAACAACCAATGATTCCTTTGAAAAGGAAAAAAGAAAATTCAATTAACCCTCTTGTGGATATAAAATCATCGTTATACGACTACGATGTAAATTCCCCTAGTAAAGATAAGCTTTTACCGAATGTATCCATATTCGATACTCGAAAGACCTATTCTGGTAATAATAAAATTATAAGATCAATGACATCTTTGGATCACGATACAACTTTAATAGATCTTCCCATCCATATTCACAATGATTCACTCAATAATTCGAATGTCGATAATCAAGATGCAGATATTAAATTACTGATGGATAAAGTATTTATCGAATTAATGATAGACTCCAAGCTTTCGTCCATACCTTTCATACCTCATTCACCATATCTCCATATTGTTTCTTCAAATTCATTTCACTTCTGTGTAAAACTACCAGCGAACATTTACGATTTAGATTTAGAACTTAACGGACAAGATAACGTCAAATTTGTAATAGATATCAAAGAAGTTCATGAAATTATTCTGAATTGGCATTTCAGGAAGGGTGATGAAATTTTCTCGTACTATAATTTATTAATATTAATGGGACCAGAGTTCAATGCCAATCACGAATTTAATATAAAATATTCCATCAAAAGGTTTAGTATCATATTGAAATTGAGAAAAAGTGAGGAATCCCTTTTAATTGAAAAGATTACAAACGTATATAAAATTTATAAGAAGATAAATATTGGAAATAATGATGCCAATCACTTGAGGCTAACATCTTCGCCTCAAAATAGTAATGATATTCATGAAACTCAGTACATCTTGACTCACGAAACAACTTTTAACTCACTCGAAATAACTCCTTCTCAGTTTTATTCGACCAGACCGAAAGATATAGAGGATCTTTATTCCAGTTTGACGAATGAAAAAAACGGATTATTATTCGGTGATTCAATACCCTCACTAAAGCATAATCCTATTCCAGAAACGACTCCTGTTTTCTCAAAAAATGGTGAAATGGAACGAAAGTTACGTTTGCATTCCAAAATTTTGACATATCACGGTGTTCCATCCTTCGCGTCCGAGAATCCCTTGGATACCAAAAAATGTGATTCGATCGAAATAACCTCTTCTGACATCTTGTGTTTAAAAGACAACGAATTCTTGAACGATTCTATAATTGACTTTTATCTTAAGTATCTATGGTGCGAACGTATCAAGCCCCCAAATTTGCAAGCCAAAATCCACATTTTTAGTTCCTTTTTCTACAATCGTCTCACGTCTCGGTTGCCTGACATAAAATCTGAAATGGATCGAAAAGAGAAAGGTAACCGTTTGAACCGAAACGAAGATGTTGAAACCCTTATTGATGATTCAAAATCGACGACTGACTTGATAATATCGAAAGATGAGATTAAAGAGATTGCTCAATCACCTTCTCCTACTTCTTATAACGGAAATTCGAATAAAATTTGCGACGAGAAAGAAGAAAATTCTAAAAGTCAATCCGAGCCTTTCCAGCGATTGCGCATAATCTACGATAGATTCTTGAGTAAATATTGTGAAACTCTTTCTCACGTGTCTCCCGGTTCAGTTTTACCAAATATAACAAAAGTTACCACCATCTCCCACCTGGCGGATAAAGATGCCATCGATCCTCTGGGTCCTTATATTCATGGCCCTGTCAAGAAATGGACAAAAAATATTGACATTTTCCGCAAAGAATATATCGTTATTCCAATCAACAAGGACTCTCATTGGTTCCTGGCTATTATATGTTTGCCTCCCAATTTACGGGATTCTATCGAAAATAGCTATCATTACTCGCGCGATAAAAAATTACAAAACTGTACTAATCCACCATTTCGCACTATATACGTTCTGATATTTGACTCGCTTTTGAAACAGCGCCACAGGGCCTTATCGCGATATATCCGAGCCTATCTCAACGAGGAATGGAATTCTAAAAAATTCACATCTACACTCACCACGCCGGATTCAAATAACGTAGAATTTCAGAGATATAAAAATTTTAAAATAATTTTCAATGAATCTAATCTTGTTTGCGTGTACCCTAAAATAGCGCAACAGGATAATTATCACGATTGTGGGCTCTATCTTCTAAAATATTTCGAAACATTTTTCTCTCATTTACCGGATTGGTCCGAAAAGACAGAGCCTTTGAAACGACAATTTTATAAGGGCGGGTGGAAAATTTATCCGGATGTCATTAAAGGTAAAAGGAAAGAAATACGCGACTTGATTCTTTGTTTATCTAAGGGAAAAAATAAAATATAGTTTTTTTTTATTAGATTCGTTATTAATATTGTTATTTATTGCTATACGGAATAAATATTGTTCATATACATTTTTAAAAAGTGTTATTAATATATGTTTTATACTTTTTAAATGAATATTTTACAAGCTTCTTTGGAGTTTTCAGTGCCTAATACCCTATCTAGATTTGGCAAACATTTTAACAAAATAAATTGGGTTAACTAAAAAATACATATATAATTCGTGGTTATATTAACAGATAGACCTTATTCGTATACTAATCATCGAATAGAGCATTTTCATATTCGTATGAATAATATTTTAAAATTTACTATTCATATTTGAATAATTAGTTTTTAAAATATAAAGTAATTTATACGAAAATTTATCGACAGAATCTTTTTTATTGCTCATCTAACAGAAAAAATTATTATAATTGATGATAAAGAACATCCATTTAAGTTATTAACTAAATTAAAATGCATATTAATTTATAATGCCTAAGGCAGAGTTTTTTTATAGTTCATCTTTGGCAGAAAATTAGTTCTAACGAAGAAAATCTACTAAACAATCATTGTTTTATGATTTTTGTTTGGTAAGTTAAGGATTAAAAATTTATTATAATAAAACACATTCTATAGGGCTTTCAATATATTCGATATCCTTAACAATAAAGGAAATGTTAATTTTTGCTATATGTGGGTTCATGGTAGATCTTACTATATTAATTTGAATATGGGTATCTTTCGAGAATAATGTCTTTCCATTTGAATCAAAAAATAGGTCTTTCCATTGCTCATACGGCTATTAGGCAGCTTTTACTTCCAACGATATTGTGGATTTTAGCACAAAAAATTTAGACTACCGTCTACAAAAATAATAGAGCTATAGAGATTAATATCAAAGTAGTTAGATCATTTAAAAAATATTTTTCCGGAGGTGTAAGATTTGGATGGTTATTTATATCCAAAACATCCTCAAACCAAATATCTCTTAACACTTTACTCATCAAAATCACCAAACTTCTAAAGTGAATTTAAGCAAGCTTTTCTTTTTCACCAGCGACAATAGTGTTAAAATTAAACCTAGTAATCTAGATAGACTAGCCCTAAATAACCTTATAATCCAGGCCTACAAATTTACCTTCAGGGCTCTGATATTAAATGCGATTGTATATAATTTAATAAAAGATTTTTTTATTATCATTCTATAATGCTTTATCGTTATTTCAAATAATATATATTTGATAGAGGTTCGACCCCCCCCCCCCCCCACCATTTCCTTCAGATGTAATTACAATAAATTATTATAGATTACTAAAATACTAAAAAAATTAATAATCTTAAATTAAGTAGGCGAAATTTTGTATAATTCATATATTTCTGATATTGCATTCGAGATTAAATATAATTTCTAATAAAAATTATACCCTTTTATAGGTAAATTGAAGGCTAAAAAATAAATGCGTTTAAAAAAATTTAGGCATTAACCTTTGAAACTGGTACATGGCAACTTTAAATTGCAAGTATAAAAAAAACTTATTAATATTTTCGTATCCTATGTCTTAAACTATATGTGCAAAATTTCACATTTCACACATTTTTATTCTACACTTTTCGAGATACTAACTTTTATTATCTTTGAATAAACTACAAAATCCAGGGTTGACTGATAAAATTCTGAATTTTTTATTATATATTTTTATGAGGAGGGGGTTGGGTACTTGCCTTTGCGTCCTTCGACTCGCTTTTGCCAGATTTTCGGTTGATCAACCAATGGTATCTGAATTTTATTGATAAAAGAAAAATATTTCATAAAAACCTCTGAATTTTTTTTAAAATTCATAAATCGTTAACATCGAAATCAATTCATTATAATCATTAAAATGGTACATATATTGAAATCCGCCATTGAAAGGTATTTGAATAAAGTGAAATTCTTTTACTGATATTATAGCTAATAATCTTGACTATTTCTAGCTTCATATGTACTTTTAATACGAATCACCAAGTGTTAATATCTAGGTTGAAGTGATTTGTTTTTTAATCCATAAAATGATCACTTTCCTTATTCCTACTGCTAAACAGAAAGGAAAATTAAAATTGATATATCAATATGGGAGATCTGGCGACCCCGCCCATACTAGTACTTCAATATTTTTATTGAATTTACTCATGCTTTCAAAAAAATTTGCTTGTTTTTAAAAATTGTCGCCATTTTTTAATTTATTTCATATTTATAATTTATTTAAGGTTATTTTAATAAGTTTTTAAAATATCAACGCTTATTGTGAAAATTTTAGTGAGCTATGCCCCATCCAACGACTAGAACTATTATTTCTACCTTAACACTCAAAGGTTAAAAAGTGATGTATTTTTGTACCATGTTTCATGGAATTTGATAGTGAGATGGAAGATTTATAGAAATAATATTTTGAAATAAATTTCTCGTAATCTTAAGCCAACGTTTTCATATCTTCATGTTAATTTTATCTATCAAATTTCTTATTATTAATGTTATAAAATTGTGGGAGACTAATGTTAAATTTTGGATCTATCCGGCCCGACCAACTCGAATTCGAAATTGGTTTTAGGTTGAAATTTGATTTTATAAAATAATTATTTTGCAATGACCAGATTAGGCTCTCCCTATGATGTCGCACATTATAAAATTATAATAATATTGAAATATTGGTTAATTTTGATTAATGATATAAGTTTGTGCAATAAACTTATATATAAAATAAATTATTTCGGCAACTCATGTAAGTAAGCCATTTTTTTGTTTATATTTCCAACTATTAGTTTAATTTAACCAATAACACCAAAACTAATTATATTAACGATTTTATTGAAGAAAAAAGAACAAACGTAAAGAATATAATAAAATTAAATAATTATGCTTATTTTTTTAGAAATAAATAAAAAAGAAAGATTTTGCTAAACCTTACATAAATATCTGACTTTGAACACACAGTCCATGATGGTTTTCATTCTTCAAATGTAGAATTTAAAGTAAAATATTCATTTTTACTTAATATATATTACAATCATATTAAAATTCTTCTAATTATTGGTTTGATTAATGCCCATTAAATGCTTAACTTTTTATTCTATCTTTTATAAAATCTAAATGCATGGGCTTCAACCCACAAGTCTGTCCTTTGTGTTAAAAAATAGTATCACCCCCACTTATGATTTTTTTTAAAATTCTCACTATATATCTAATAATATTATATATTTATCTTTTTGTATATTGTTTGCGGCTATAAGTTAACTTAATGGACTTTCTTTTTGTTAAATAAGGTTCATCATAACGACAATTCTTATAAAATATACCAGAATAATAAAATTTTTAAAATAAAATAATATTAAAATTATAAAATAAAATAAAACATTATTTTATAAAAACGGAGGTGTGAATACTATTTTATAAAACAAAATCTACAAATAACTATTTTAAAATATAACTTCATGTTTTTTGGGAACTTGTAGTCCCACCTCCGTTTTTATAAAATAATAATTTATTTTATATTTGATATGTTAATTTTAATATTATTTTATTTTAAAAATTAAACATTTTATTATTCAGGTATTTATTATAAGAATTGTTAGGATTTTGTTAAATAATAATATATAACAATCGATTGTAATCTTGTTGAAATAATATTCAAATGATTTTTATATACATTTAACTTTTACCAAAATTTATATATATTGTGATAAACATAATCATTATCTTATTACCACTTAAATAAATATCTTTAATTCTTGTCTAAATTGATCATCCTTCAAATCCCTACATAGTGGAGAATATAGGCACTAGCTTATTGCAACCTGATGTAAGGAGCCTGTATATTCTTGCGCTCGCATGGTATGATACACTAAAGACAAGCTGCTTATTGACAAAAAATTATTGTTTAGACACATGAAAACAATTTCCATATAATTCCTGCCCTCGTATGCTTTGACACTAAAGAAGAAAGCTGCTTATTTTCTAAAAAAAGATTTTTTTTGTTAAATTCGATTCCAAATTCCTACATATATAACAATTCTTAGTATTTAATCATATATATTGTTTTACATAAACGTTAAATTTAGTGATTACAATTCTACACACTAAGCATAAATTTATTGTTTCTATTATATACCTCTCACAACTACAATTTCAAACAAGTTTTAAATTTAATTTCTTCCTTATTATTTTGTCTGCTAATTTGAAACCTAACCAATATGAAAATATAAATTAATTAGTTTTGCATCTCTATACAATTCTTATACAAAAATAAATTTAAGAATAAAATACATATAGGATCTAGATACAAAAATTTCAAACGTTGAGTGTAAATCCTATAAGTTGAAGGGATAAATACCATAATTGGCAAATAAACTAATCACTATAAAGAGGTCAAATATTTTAACTAAAATCAAATTAAATCTATTTTCCAAATTTAAGTATCTCATTTCCTCTTCATCAGCCTATATTCTTCTAGATATAAATCTGAAAACTATTAATCGTACACAATTTTTGCCTATTTATCCATTTTATGTATAAAATTTTATTCAGCCTTTGAAATTTATGTCTCTTAATCTTAGTCCAAATATCAACGATATATCATCGAGAGCTCACAATTTCAATTCTATTTAAATTTCGAAGATAAAATAATTACATATTCTTCTAGATATGAACCAGAAAACTCTGAATCATATGCGATTATGTCGCAATTAGTTATTTTATTCTCTATTTCAGTTATTTTGCCCTTCAAGCTGATGGGAAATCAGAATTTCTCCTTATTCGATGTTGGTCATTATGTATAAATTATTTGTTCATGTTGAAAGTACTATTATACTGTTACCATATTTTGAATATAATGGAAAATTAAGGAATTATATTGCATCAAAAAGAAGTACATTACTGATTTCACTCATCAAATTTCTGATTCATTCATCAAGGAGAAACTTTCGACATGACGGGTTAGCTGCTAGTTATATATAAGTAACTAATAAATAATATTTACATGACATGAATAAAGGTTTAATCTGTTTATTTCCGATATATTCATGTGAATTTTATAAGGAAAAAAAGGTATATGCCTAATGAATGAATCATTAAATCTGTCAATTCAGGGAAAAACAATAATCATGAAATCCAGAAATCAATGTTGAAAATTGTTTCAAAAATATTT